TCATCTCACGTACTGCTGTCAAGGAACCTATGAACGTGGGTCACGGGATGGATAGTGTTTATACATGCAAGGGACACTCTTGCCACGTTCTCTCCGTATCAGTACAACACATATTTATAGTCAATAGCAACATACGCGCGGACAAACACACAAACACACACACACACACACACACTCACACACACACACACACACACACACACACACACACACACACACACACACACACACACACACACACACAACACACACACACACACACACACACACACACACACACACACACACACACACACACACGCACACACACGCACGCACGCACGCACGCACGCACACATACATACACACACGTCCGTAGATTCGTATTCACGCACGTGAAGACTCACACACGCAAAGTAAAAATAGCCGAAGAGCACAATCCAATAGGCAACATAAGAAACATTTGAATGGAACCGCCATGAAGAGACGACGTTCGCGTTTGACTAAAAAATATTCCAGCGAAAAATTCGAACGGATCAGCAAACAAACGGAAAACAAAACACTTTACTGACAGACAAAGCGCGTTTATATCATAATAAGGAGATGATATATTAGAAAACAGGAAGAAGAGAGAGAGAGGAAATCAATAAATAAAACCTGCCAGCACAAACCGGATCGGAACAACAACAAAGAATGATAAACGAAGGGGTTCCAGTGGTGGCACACCCGTGGTGGCAGCGGGACCTGCACACCTTCTCCTGCCTCACCTGCCTCAGTGCCAAGCCAGTCACACTAGAGCCATGGCACTGAGTGGTGGTGGCGGTGGATGAGAGAGAGAGAGAGGAAATTAGAGAGAAACGGAGAGTCGAAAACGAATAAGAGAGAGACAGAGGTAAAAGCGACCATATAATGCGTACCTGTAACTTCCACACTTACCTTTGCGAGTTTGCTTGATTGGATTCACTACGGTATTGATTCAAGTGTATTGGGACATGGGCGGGGGTGCCTCGAGGGGCGCACTGAATGGCACTCGAGACATTGTTTTTCTAGAGTGCCATTATAACTGAAGGAGAGTGAAAGTGTGTCAGTGTAATAGTGCCAGTGTGGCTTGGCACTTCCACTCGCGGGGGAGGAGGGTAGGAGTGTGTAATTCGCCCGTTATTTTTTGTTTTTAATTCCTTTTTCATATTTGGATGTCTGCCAGAAACAGCTTTGCCTTTTGGTGTTTGTAACACGGCAACCATTGTCAAAACAGTACAAGAAGGCAGTACCCATAACGAGAGATAAAAACAAAGCTTGATGTGGTTGGATTGCAATATTCATAGTGTCTTTATTTTGAATTACAATATGGTGATTAGATACCTTTTCTTCAGTAGTGTTGCTTTTGGTCATGTAGTTCATTATTAGTAGACAGAAAGTGAAGGAACAGAAGTAGCAAGTGTAAATTATTGCAAGGACATTCTTTTATGGTCAACAATTATAATTTATAGTATGTAAATTATGTAATGAATGTGATACATTTGAAAATACTTCTAGGTATGAAAAATATATTATGTGTATATAGTTTGTTTGCTGTTTACAAATTCAAGGCAATACTTGTTTGTTAATATTAGGCCACAGATGTAGATAATAGATCAACTTAATTACATTATCTTTCCTTCATATTTTCTAATTTTTCTAAAATTGGTCAATTATATATTTGTTTTAAGATAGTACTCTTTTATATCCATTATTTGGTTGAATAACTAAAACTTTAATATGATTTTATTGACATTACATTTACAGGACATTACTTACATAAAAGATTTATATACAGTAAACTCTTAGATTCTATATATACATGAAAATATATTAATCATAAATTATATGTATAGAGGGAAATCAATATCAAATATGTAATATAAAAGATGTAATAGATATTAAGATACCTTTCAAACCCTAGACTGTTGTTGACCTAATACTATATTACTCATTTAAGTTACTCCTTTTTATCAATACTTCTTATTCATTAGACATAGATGCCTCCTTTTTTCAGTCTGTAACAGACTCATCCACTTTAAGCACAAATCATTGAGAAAACCAACCAGAAGAGGAATATTTAACCAAAAAAAGCATAAAGTTGTAAATAAATCTGCAGTGACATGTTTGTTTACATTTTTAAGTGACATTTGGGAGGTGTTTATGGTTGATTAGGGGTTATATGACATGGTTTTTGTCCACAAACATCATTATACAATAGCAGTTTTAAGAAGTCAGAGACAAATGTGATGTCAGCAACAAGGAAAATAGATAAAATTGTTAATCATATTCAGTTCAGAACAGTTCAGAAACAGGAACCATGAGACTAAGAACATAGTACTAGATTTAAGAGTTCACATTTATAATGAAAATTATAGTATGATTATTACTTATCATTTTGAGATAATCATTTAAATTGTAAAGATCACTAAGTTTGTCTGTTTTTTAAAAAGATGTATGCATCATAAGACTGTACATAGTATTATAGTTATTAAGTCACATTAACATTAATTACAGGTTTCTGCATATGCAGCATATTTACGTGCATACACAAATTTTATGATTTTATGTGATCCTATGTCAGTGAAATAGCACTTGGTTTGGGTTCTAAGATCAAAGCTCTGGGTTCGGAGGGATTTTGATTCATAGATTGATTATTGTGTGAAAAGAGTGACCCAAGAGTGACCCCAAAACTAGAGTAATAATGATTTAGTCTCAGAAGGGTGCAGTCATTTTGTA